TTGAACCAGTGAGGAAAAGGCCAAGGGGGACCTGTCACTGGAAGACGCCGCACACCTCCTTCTGCAGCTGGCGGCTGGCGGCTTTGGGGTCGAGCAAGGGCTTGGGCACAGCCGGGTGGCCAGCACACCTCTCTGAGAGCGCGGGGCCCACGGGGCAGTCGCTGCCCACAGTCTGGCAGGGGGTGGAAGGAGGACGTGTCCAAAGCCAGACAGATGGGCCAAACAGGGAGGGCCAGTGGGGACAGACCCGAAGTGACACAAACTGCAGCATCACGGCAGTGCTCACAGAGCAGGGACCGCGACCATGGGCACTGCTCTAGGGGTACCACCACCACCCCGTTTTCTCCAACGGTGAGAGCGAGCCGTAGATCGACTAAGACCGCGGCCAGGACACCCGAGGCAGTGACCGCGGCACCCATCCGAACGCACACACTCTGGCCCCAGGCACCACGGTCCAGGTTTGGCCCCATGGGGCCGAGGTGGCCAAGAGAAGCCACCTGCGCCTGTGCTGGAGGGAGGGAGGGAGAGTGCCACAAACACACTGGAAATGGTATTTTCAAAACACAAGACGAGATCCCAAAAGAGACGGGCGCATATACTGAGCTATTAGTCCCGAAGATCGTGAATACGGTGCAGCAGCAGAGAGGAGGTCCCAGGCACAGGCTAACCCACCAGGCGACTTGGACAAGGTTCTTCTCAGCTCCCGGCTGCAACGGTCCTGCCTGTGCTGGGGTGGGGGGCGGGGGGAGGCCACCTCCCCCCGCGCCCCGCTCGAGCTCATTGGACTCCCTCAGAAAGGAAAGGGGCGAGGCAGGCACGAAGTCGCCTGCTCCAGTGAAACGGGAGGACACGTGGAAAGGAGGCCACCACGCCCGTCTCCGTGTAAAGGGCAGGCACGGCGCTGAGAGGGGATGAGAAAAGCAAGGTGGGCGCCGCGCTGGGCCTCCACTTGCCGAGGGGAAGCACGCACCCCAGGCCGCGCGGCTGGTAGCCAAAACTGGAACTCAGGCCTCTGACTGCGCCCGCACACCAAGGTCTCCCGGGCAGAGCGAGCGGAAGCAGGGGGCACACCGCCCCTCCGTGGCCCCCGCCCTCTGCGCAGCTGGCCGGGCATGGAGCTCGGTCCCGAGGCTGGATCTGGGAGGGACAGGCCCTGTCTGCCCACCCGCAGGCCATGGAGTCGAGGTTGCAGGCGGCCCACGCAGAGCGCAGTGTTCCCGATGGGTGGTGCCATGAGACGGCTCTGCGGCCTAGTCGCTCCATGCTCCGCAGGAAAGCCCCACGGAAGCCAGGTCCACAGCCCCCTGCCGCCAACGCTCTCCTCGTACGCGCATCTCACGAGCAGCCCAGAGCTGTGCGTTCGGAGCGCGGCTCCTTCAGGGGCTCTCAGGTGGCTCAGCGAGGCCGGCTTTCCGGGAATAAATCATGCTTCTGTAACTAGCAACGTTTCTTTAACCGGAGGTTAATAAAGGTCACCGGCGAAGGCTAACCAGCGGGTCTGATCTTAGAGACGTTCATAAAGCCTGTGGAGAAGGTCCTTTAGGGCAGCTTCTTAGCAGAGCCCCGGGGAAGCCCAGAGAAGAGCTCAGCACTGACGGGGATGTGCAGGTCCAGGGCAGAGGTGAGGTCTAGCGGAATCCCTCGGGGGACGGGGAGGGGGAGGGAAGGGGCTCCATCCCCAGCCACACGCCACTCGGAGGCCATGGCCCCAGGGCTTCGCCAGGCCCCAGGCCCGTCCCATCCCGTCCTGGGCCTCACGCTCTCAGCTCGGGGAGCATGTGACGGACACAGAGCAGTGAGTGCACAAGGTGCTCTGGGGGTCCCAAAAGGAGGCCAAACCACCGCCCGCCCTCACCCCCAGCACTTAGTCCTCAGAGCCTCCCCGGCGGCACAGGGAGGGGCTGGGAGCGGGCAGGCTCCTCTCCCTCCAGCCGGGCCCCCAGCCCTGGCTGTTCGCTACGCCAGGCCCCCGCCCTAGAATCGGGGTCTCTGAACACCGCCGGGGGGTGCAGGGACAGGCCGCGTCCCCTGAAATCCCCGCCTGCCGACCCCTCCCGAGTGGAGCGAGGCTGGCTCCCCGCTCGTCACTGCGTTTATCTGCTGGTCCCAGCTGCACAGCCCCACCTGGCCAGCACCCTCCCACCCCCCCAGCGGCCTCTGCAAACCCAGGGCCCGCCTCCTGCTCTTCCTCAGAGGCGCCGCGCGCCCACCCTCAGCGGGACGCTGGAGGACGCTAAGGAGGGAGTACCTTGAAACACAGCGAAGCTTGCTTGAAACTCCTAGTCCAGAAGAAGTCAAAGAACCTGGGAAGGGGCAAGGCCAGCAACGGCCCAATTCCCTCACGCTTTGCAGAAAGCAGGCCTTGAACACGGAGAGCGCCCCACACAGGCTGGAGGAGCGCCTGCCAGAGCTGACAGCCCCTCATGGGCCTCCACCTTCAACGCCTGCCTCGCGCTTGACTCTGACCTGATACGGAACGTTGCCTCGATCAGCTAAGGAGCAGGTATCAGTCACCCACAACCGAGGAGCCGACATCCAGCCCCAGGCCAGAGAAGGCGGGACCCCTCCGGACCCCACTGTCACCCCCAAACCCCACAAGCACACAAATGACAGGGCAGGACTGGCCCGGTGCTACCTGGGAAGCCAGGTGGCTACTGGGCACAAGGCATCGACGCCCGCACTACCCGACGCTACCCCTGTGCACCCACTTTACGGCTGGAGACCGGGAGCCTCAGCCAGGCCGGGGAGTGGGCCGCTGGGGAGAGGGTCCACGACCCACCACAGATCCCCAAGGGCACCCGCCGGGCTTCTCTTACCGCGCCCCAGCCTGCCGCCAACCCCCCTTCCCAAGCCCCAGGTCCCGCAAGTGAACGTTATTGCCACCTCTCCCCATTCTCCAGACACAGCGCAGCGCTGGAAATGACATACAGCAAAGCGAGCACCACAATTCTGGAAAGGGACCCAAGGATGCATCCCGCTCCGCCACAGCCGCGGCACCCAGTACAGGGCGCACACCCACTTGTTCCAGTCGCCCTGAACCATGCTGTCTACCTGCGGCCGCGAGGAACCCCGTGGAGCTAATTCTGGAAGAATGTCCTCCCCTCCTCCTCGGCGTTTTATGAGGGGTAGTCTGGGTCTTTATGGGCAAAATTAACCAAAAGAACATTGGCTCCAAAGCACACTCCCTGCATTTGACCGTTTTCCGTTGGATGATGGATGTTATCTAATACCTTCCAGGCCGAGCACACCCTGGGTCTGTAAATACAGATCCCATCTCGTGGCTGTTTAATAACTATCAGAGTGGCCAGGACTGGTCCTCGTCTGCTGGGCCTCATGTTCCAGGAGGTCTCGAGGGAAAAGTAGCCTAACTGCGCTAAACAACCGGCTTTCCAGGATGAAAACACACACACTCACACGTGCACTCGCACCCACGCACCACTCATGCAGACCCGTGTGTCCACGCCCATGCACCCACACACGCAGACAGGCGCATGCTCCCAGACACCCCGACCAGACAGGAGGGGACGGTGACAGGACGGAGGGTGGGGCTCAGGGCAGAGTCAGACACGCCTGCCTGGACTCGACCTGCCCTCCTGGGCACACTCCTCAACCTTCCCCAGCTAGGACTCCTCTTCCGTAAGGAGGGAGTCTGCAGATCCCAGCTTGCAGCATTTTCACCATGACTTTTAAATAGGATTATTAGGAAACGTTAATGAAGATAAGGTAATTTGAGGATGACTTACTGAAGGCCCGCTTGTCCCAGGCCCCACACCAGGTAAGGACAGACGTTTACTGGGAAACAAACGTGACGGATGAGGACAGATGCCGGCCCTGCACCGCCAGCGGTGGGCGGCGGGGGTGGGGTGGGGGGGCCAGCTCCGCCGTGTGCTCCGGAGGTGCAGGCGTCCCCACACCGGGAGGGGCTGGGAGGGGCCGGCCTGCAGGAGGCAGGAGAAGCAGCTGAGCACGGTGGGGGTGGGTCGGGAGCGCCCCGGACCATCGCTGGCGCCCGGCCCTGCAGCGCCGCTGCCCCCTTCCGGTGCCCACCCCACCTACAGCCCCACACTCCTCCCCGTCTAGGCCAGGCCTAGTGCTGTGTTCACTGTGGTCTCTGTCTATTTCTCAGTCACTGGACACGTGTGAAACTGTGCTACCATTTTCATCGGGTTCTTCCCTCCTTTGTACCGTCACCGATGAAGTTTTTGAGCAATTCTGTGTAGCGGGGTAATTTTTAGGAACACACAGGTCACACAGACATGTCTGTCTGTTATAGCAGAATCGACCGTAAATGTCTGTTCAACTACCACATTTTTGTGAACAGTAGTTTATACTTAAAAAATACTTTCAAAGTATCAGCTCCCAGAGTCAATCTCTGGGTCGGTTCTGTAGGGCGGCTGGGGGAGGGCACAGGGCAGCAGGGGGAGGGCACAGCGGGTTCCTTCCCCAGGACAGGAAGAGAAGGTTGAGAGCGGTGAGGGGTCTGGATGCGAGATACAAAGGGTACAGAGCGACAGAGTTTAGGCTCCAACTGTTTTCTGAGTTGCAGTCCCAGGCTCTTTTTTCCCCCCAGAACAGAGAATCTGGAGCGAGTCTGCCCCAAGAATGCCACCTCCCCAGCCCAGGTGCACAGGGAGGGCCACGCTGGCCTTTGGGTACCAATACACCTAGGGCAGCTACAGGTCCCTCACGAAAAGAGGCGGGGAAAAACAGGCACCCAGGGAGGAAGAGGAGAGGGGAGCAGCCCAGGGGGGCCGTGGGCTCCTGGGGAAGAACAGCTGCCCTGCGCCCGGCACAGGAAGTCAGGCCAGACGGGGGTACCGGGCACTGCCCAGGGTGGGTGGCGGGGACACTGATGTCACCGACCCCTCAAGGACACGTCAACCACACAAGTCACACCCACCTCACTGAACACCCCCTGTGCTGTCACCTCCGATTCCGCTACAGCTCTCGGCTGAGCTGAGTAGCCAGGAACCACCCCCCCGCGTTAGGGGTGAACCTCAGGGAGAGCTGGGGGAGGCCTGGCTTCCTGGCCCGATAGAGGCAGCCTGGGGTGGGGGGACGATGGAGCCAATGATAGGGAAGGCCCAGGGCCCCAGACTGAAGACGTGGGACCTGCCCCCAGGGTGTGGGTGCGGGGGTCCCTCCAGGATCCATAATCTGGGCAGTGAAACCAAGGACAGTGCGACGGGGGTGGAGGTCAGGCCCGCCAGGCCATGCCTCCCCAGGCCAAGGGCAGACAGGCCTGAGGCAGAACAGCCAAGAGAGGCCGGTGGCACCTCTAACATGTGAAATATTATCACCAAGAGGGGCCTGGAGACAATTCAAACGCCACCAGCAAGACGCTGTGGCTATTTTTAGCAGCAACACTCAAGAGGCTGCCTGGCAGGGAACCATGTCTTTGAGCGTGACCATCAATTTTCACCTGCAGCCAACTTCCTTTCCTCTCAGGATGAAGGTTATTCAAAGATGTGGATTTCTTCGAAATTGAGTTAAAAAGAGAAGAGTTCTCCACGACCACAAGGGGGATTTAAAGTGCACAGAAGGACACTCGCGACCGATGCAGCCTCGTCCTCCCAGGGCTCCCAGACCCTCCCGGCTCGGCAGGGGGCCCCAGGCCTGCGTGCAGGCGTCCTTGGCGGGTAGAGGCCCCGCCCCGGGCCCGGCAGGCCTCCGTCTCCCGCACAGTCAGAGCTGCGCTTGGACACGGCCCCTCTTCTCTAGTTCAGGCACCCCGGGATTCTCCACTACTAACCCCACTGCTGCGGGCCTTGCCTGTGGGAGCCCAGGAGTTGGAGGGTGAGCACGGCCTGGTCACCAGTGAGGAGAGGGAGGTGTCCGGCTCAGTGAGAGTAAATGAGACAGAATACTTTCATGCAGTATTTTAGAAACTCAAAGTTCACCCAAAACAGCCCCATGAACAAATGTCAAAACTGCAAATGACAGGACCCGCCCAGCGCTTGCCAGCTCCCCTTCTCAGGCCTGCCCGAGGTCCCATGCCGTGGGCACCCACCCGTCCTGAGGGACTTCCCGGAGCCACGAGCAAGCAAACGGGCGCAGGGCCTCACAAACGCACGGTGCTGGGGGCGACCTTCCTCGGGGCCCAGGGACTGCTGGGCTCTCCAGGGGCTGGCGCTTTA